TACTTTTGTGGTGCCTCATCTCCAAACCCATACTGAACTATATACTATTCTCTATGAAAATATGATCTTTTAGGCTTCTTTATGTTTATACATGCTACTTTCTTTGCCTGGCAAAATTCTACTGATTGCTCAAGATCCAGCTCAGACATAATGCCAGTTCCTCTGTGAATCATTATATACCCCTAGTCCCTAGGCAAATACTATATAGTCAATACTTCCTCAATGCTACCACTTCAGTTTGTACATACCTGAATGTTAGTACTCACCACACGCATCATCATTATTTTTTTACTCATCTGTTTCAGTTATCTGTTGCCATGCAACCATCCACTCCAAAACGTAGTGGTTTAAACAATAACTAATTTATTATCTCTGTAAATTCTGTGGGTTGACTGTGCAATTCTTCCACTCTATGTGATGTCAGCTGGGGCTACAGTCAACTGCAGGGCCCAACTAAGCTGGAACTTCCAAGATGGTTCACTCATATGTCTGGTGCCCTTGCTGAAATAGCTGGAAGACTGGGCTCATGCTGGGATGCTGGGAAAACTGGGCTTCTTTCTCTCCAAGAGGTCTCTCCACATGGTCTTTCCACCAAAGTAGCCTAACTTCTTGCACAGCAGTTCAGGGCTCCCAAAAAAGAGCATTCCAAAAGGAAGGAATCGAAAGCCACAGGTCCTCTTAAATGCTAATCCCACACTGTCACCTCCACTGCTGTTAACACAAGTCACAGGCCAGGGACTACTCAAAGGCAGGAAGAGCAGAAGGCATGGTTCCTGGTTCCATAGGGGCCATCTTTGGGGCTAGCTCCCTTATTGCTCTGCGATTTGCCTAAGGGACAAAGAGTGTGTCTTTCTCATCTTTGTGGCCTGAGTACCTACCACGGAACTTAACACACGGGGGACATTCATTAAATGATGGTTGAGTGAGAGAGCAGAGGTGGAACTGGAGGACTGAGGCACAGGCCCAGTGAAGAACAGTCAGGGCCAGTAGAAAAGTCGGGGGTGGGAGTGAAGTGCCTCATAGCTAAACTCTGATGCTGTGTCAAAATGAGGCCACACATGCTGTCATCAGTTTTGTATCTGAGTTAAAGTGTTAACCTGTTAAGTGTAAACCTTTAAATTTGCATAATCCTCTTTAGCATTTCTGTATTTTTTTATACGGAAGTGGCCTGAGTCTCTCCTGACATTTGGGAGTCCCTGGGAATAACCACTGTTAAGTGCATGTGTTAGGTAGTAACTTTTAAATTGTGTTGCTAAGAGATGCCCTAAGAGTTCAGTGGAACTCCCTCAGGGACCACTTTAGAAGGGATGGGAGAGAAGGGTCTGAGCATAGCGCCCTGTGGGCCCACAACCCCATCCTTACTCCAACCAGGGAAGCTTTTACTGGTTTCATTTGTTGGCACAAATAAGGCTTTATTTGGAAAAATAAATAAAGGCAGTATTTTGATTTTTTTCCCTAGTAAATAAATCGTGAAACTTAAATGCTAAGAAAAACAGAGGAAACGAATAACAAGATTAACCATAAAGACGTAGCTGAAGCCGGACAGCCCAAGCTGGCAGCAGGCCAGATCAGCATGGTCCTGTTGGCAAAGCAAGCGTAAGAGGAGATTAAGGTGCCCAGGGAGTCTGGAGAGGCGGTGCAGGGGAGAGAGAGTGACATACTTCGAGTATGGAGTCCAGATTTTAGTCCATCTTCGTCACTGATGGGCCCTATAGCTTGGGTAGGACTTAACCTCTTTGGGCCTCGGTTCCCTCATTTGCAAATAAGGTCATTGGTCTAAATGACTTCCAAAGTCTGGGCTTCCTGCCTCTGTGACTCCAGGGAGCTACGGAAGCACTGTAGTGTGGGTGACTGACAATGATTTCCAGGCTACACATATTACTCAGTATCACCCACGAAAGCTCATTATTTGCAGGGTATGGAGCCCAGAAGGGAGAGGTGAAAGGCTTAGGATCTTGATATTGGAGTATAGAGTACTTAGCTCCAATAATATCTGTTAAATTAACTAGACAAGGAGAGCATTGGACTCAGGCGGCTCTAAGCCGTGGAGGCCTCTGTAAGCAAACTAAAAATCTGAGCCAGTAAGCGCCTCAAGGTTACGAAATTGAAACCTAAGGACAACCAATCAAAAACAGCCAACTAGGCTTTAAACTACAGCCGATCAATAATTTCCTGACTTTGCTTCCACCTTTTCTCTATACCACTCTCTCCTGGAGCTCCTGTCTGTGGAGCGCTCCTAACCACTTCCGGGGTGGTGCTGCCTGATTTGAGTTGATTTTTGCTCAAATAAACACTTAAAGTTTTCAACATGCCTCAGTTTATCTTTTAACATAACTAATAGTGTCTGAGCATTAAGTACAGATATCGTACTAAGGATTTTACTGGCAAACAGCATTTCATTCTCACCACGTCTCTCTTAGGAAGGTGCAATTGTTATCCCCATTTTAAAGATGAGGAAATTGAAGTTTAAGAGATTGTCATTTGCTTAGAGCCACACAACTAACAAAGGATAGAGCAGGGATTCAAATCTAGGCATTTAAGTGCATATCTTTATTTTTCCTTATTCATACAAAGTCTGTCTGTATTACACAGAAAGCTCGAAAGAACTGGAATTGATATCAGTTTAACTCAGTTTGTCTAACCATAGCACACGCCTTCAGGCAGACAGGCACCTTTTATAATGATGATGCCAGGAGTACTGACAACGTTAGTGCTGGTTAAAGAGAATTTATCTTTGAAATGCAAGTTAACAAACCGAAGCGCATATTTCAGTATCAGTTCTACCACACTGTTCTTACATAATTCTACTGGAAGCTCTACTCTTAAAAAGAAGCTGAAAGAATGGAAGCATTTTCAGAGAAGCTCAAAAACTGAATTCTGTTCTATCGATTAAGTAGATGTGTAGGTGGCAGAAATACACAAAATAGTTCCCATTTTCTTGTCTTGATGGCAACTTGTAAAATAGGTAAGTATCAAAAAATATAATAACATATTTGTGAAACATTTAACAGACTACAGAGCACCTTCCTGCGTAGATATTATCTCAGTTAATTCTCATAACTCCACGAACATTATCATCCCCATTTTACAGATCTCAAAACTGAGGTTTATATAAGATAAATTTTTGGCCCAGGGTGGCATAACTAGCAACTGAACCAAATTTTCATCTTCAGACTCCGAGTCCGGTGTACTTTCGATTACACTACAATCTACTTTATTAAAATGCACATTTTATATCACAGTAAAACGTAGTAGGTATTACTTGCTACTCAAGTCTACTCCACTGGTGAGTTTCGCCCCCTGGAGGAGGAAATTATATTCTTTCCAATGATTTGGTTGCCAGAGGTAACAACTTGTAGTTACAATATTAATATTGTGATAGATATTGATTGAAATCTGTAGCTAACACTTTAAAAGAGGCACATAAGAATAAACCCAAACATAGGATTTTTTTTCAATGTAGGACTGTGAGCACAGTTAGATTGGGCCACTTATTGATATTTTGATGTTTTGGGATTGTGAAGTTGCTCATTATAAATCACCCCAAGAGCATCCATAGTTTATGGTTAAGCTGCTGGTAGTTTTGGTATTTAACGAGCTTAACTTTCTGGATCTCAGGGAGAAAGCCTATATGCAGCATGTTCTTTAAACCCATAGAGATCTGGGATTTCCTCTAGTTCAATTGCTAACTACCTGTGTGACCTTGGGGAAATGCATTATCCTCTGATTCCAAGTTTCCTCAACTGTAAATGGGGTAATCATTCCTATACCATTGAATTGGCTTGAACATTAAATGTGGAAGTGTAAACAAAGGACATAGCAAAGGATGTGACACTCAAAAAACAGTAGTTCTCTTCCTTGAGAGACTTGAAAGTTTTGGTATATTGGGCCTCACACGTCAAAAAACAAAAAGAAATAAAATAAAAACCCCTTCACCTCTACTTACACTTGACACCAAAGAGACAGCTATTTAGTACATCAGCGGTACCCCGTTCACAGCCAGGAGTTTGGTAGGTGCTCAATAAATGAAACGAAATTACCCCCTCTCCCCGGGTCTCAAGTGTCTCATTAGGAGACTGCCATAGCCAGAACCTCCTTGGCCAGTCTGCAGCCGACATAGGAAAGGATGTTGTCTTTGCAGCACCCCACCCTCCCTCTCTGGGCCCTGCTTTTTTGTCATGGTTCATTCCAGCCAAGCTAAAATTTCCCCAAACATGACTGGAGCGATGGGCCGAATCTAACAAGATTAAGTTTAATAGGGATAAATGTAAAGACTTATACTTCAGTCCAAAAAGAAGCCTGTACAAATACTAGATGGAAAATATGGGGATTAGCAGCAACACGTGTGAAAAAGACTTAGGGGTTTTAGTTGATATTAAGCTCAATTAGTCAACGGTGTGCTTTTGCTAACAGTAAAGTTGACGTGAACTGGGCCTGCATTAACTCCCGCCCAGGCCCAGTGGTTACCCTACTGCGCTGGTTCTTTAGCCTTAGCAGAATCACCCACCCACCAGAAAGCTCATTAATATCCAGATTACTGCCCCACCCTGCAGAGTTTCCATTCCTTCCATCTAGGGTGGGGCTTGATAATTTGCATTTCTAACAAGTTCCCAGATTGGTGGTGAAGTTGCTGGCCCCGGATCCTTCTTTGGGAACCACTGCTTTCCCTATTCCACCCGGTCAGGTGACATGGGGACCAGTCCTAGTACCAAGGGTAGTGAAGAGACTGCAAACATAGGAGGGACAAGGAAAGGAAGGGAATGGAGAGTTGTTAGGTGCTGTAGTAATATCAGTAAATTCATAATAATAGGTAGCATTTATTGCGGGTTTATTGTAGGCTAGAGGTTCTACCAAACTTGTAACAGAATTAAAAATTGTAATAATAACAATAGTAGTTATCATAATAACTGCCACCCAAATAGCACTTCCTGTGTGCCAAGTTTTGCTCCACACGCTTTACGACAATTCTACAAGGTACATGTTACTATGCTCGCTATCAGGTGAGGAAACTGCAGGCCTGAGAGGAAGCCCACCAAGGCCACGTTCACACAGCTCACAGGAAACCTGGCTGGGACGTGGATCTAGATGTGCCGACAGCCAAACTCCTGTGGTACAATGAGGACTCCTGCAGGCGGGATTGAACTAAAGACTACGTTCTGCCTAAAGAAGAGAAGAACAGAGAGAGGAGGATAACGTATTCAATGGTGAATGAATAAACAGAATATGGTGTATCTGTACAATAGAATACTACTCAGCAATAAAAATGAACTGAACTACTGAAAACAACATGAATGAATCGCAAGATAATTATGGTGAATAATGAAGCCTGACAAAAAATGATTAGAAAATGCTAACTAAGCGATCATGGCAGAAAGCAGGTTAGTGGTTGCCTGGGATGGTGGGAAGGGGAGCTTGAGAAGACGTAGGAGGGAAAGATTACAAATGGGCACAAGAAAACCTTTGGGAGTGATTGATCAGTTCCCTATCTTGATAGTGGTGTGCTTTCAAGGGCACCTAATCATGTTAGAATTTATCAAACTGTACACTTTAAATATGCACAGTTTCTTGTACGTCAATTATAGTGCAATAAAGTTATTTAAAAAATTGGGGTTTAAACATATTAAGTAAAATACACAAATCCTGTGAAATAGACCAGTATTATTACTCTGTGAATAACTGATTGAAAATTGTGTGCAGTATAGGTTCACACCTATGGAATAAGTAATTTGGATAAACCTACCCTTTTAGCATGGATCTATACATGTAATGTGTAACCAATGTGTCTTACCAATTTCCAAGTAGAAATATCAATTAAACAATAATTTAGGCTCTATGAAAATCTACCTCAATGGAAAAATCCATAACTAAATTCTAGTTCATCAAAAAACAACTGGGCCTTAAGAGGTCATGGATTATAAAAACTAAAATAACACGTACATATAATTACAGTTGTAATAGTAGCAGTAGAAGTAACACTATTTTCTTATTAAATTTCTCATTTTAAAAAAAATTCCAAAAAACTTAAGCATTTTCCTTCTGAATTAAGAGGATAGATGGGCTTATTCTCATTTAATAGATGTTAAAATTTAAGTTGCCAAAAAAAGACCTTTTTCATATCTTATTTTTTAACTGCTTCTGATAACAAGGATCACAATATGTTTGTAAGTTTGCTTTGCTCAGTGTCATAACTTGGTTTAAAATTCAGTTGAAAGCCCTGGTTTGTCATAGGAGCTCACCAATAAGCATAATAGCCAGTGCTTTTTAAAGATGTTAATTAGAAAAATTACAATAAAATTAATTCACATAGCACTTGTGTTTTTAGGACTTGGGAGAAACATGATGACAGTGAGCAAAGAATTCTAATCAAATTTGGAGACACTCCTATAGAATTATTCTTGGAATTGTTCAGGATTACCAATACATGCTGTTCTCAAATTATGTGTGGCTTAGTAGATACATGAAACCCACCCGGCTCAGAAACGCAAAACTGAATATACAGCAGAGGTGGGTGACATACCTACCATGTCTTTATTCTACTTTTAAGAGAAAATGTAAATTGTTCAATTCCCTCATTCTGTTCCCAGGGAGAATAAAGTAATTAATGCAAGTCAAAGATAAACTCAAGGATACAACTGAGCCTCAAGACAAGGAGAAGCACGGAGTTTGAGGCAGGAGGAGCAAAGAAGACCAAACTCTCTAACTCATGAAGATCTCATCCCTCTATTGCCTAAGGGGTGAGATGGGGAAAAAGGGAAAGGCCTAGAGGAGACTGTTTAGACCCTCTTGGTTGGTGGTCCTGAAGTAAAAGGGGTGCAAGGATTCAGCTCCAGCAAGGGAGATCAAGGGGATTTGCGGGAAAGGCCACAGTGAAATAATAACATGGATATATATGCCATTTCTCCCTCATTCCCAAGCAGGGTGGGGGTAGGTAATTGCCTAAAACCCCAAAAAGATTCCAAGATTGGGGTCTTGGCTTTTAACAACTGATAATCACGTGGGAAGGAATGAGAGAATATCCTTCTAGGATTAATTATTGAAATTCTATTAAGAGCCAGTCCTACCCAAAAAATCTCTGAAGTTTCCTGCTGTGGTGTACCTAGGTATTCTGGTATATTAAGAAATTACGGAATCATGTTTCCATAGCCCTTCTCTAGGCTCAATCGTCCTTTAGATATCTAATGTGTATCCAGGGACACTTCACTGGCCACGAACCACTGAGAATGAAGCCTTGTCGTGGAGAAGGAGCTCAATCAAAGGGTGGTAACCAGGACCAGCCTCCTGGGTGTGGGACCAGTGCATTCGCACAGGCCCTCCTCCCACAACGTGGCTGAAAGCTCTGCTGTTGCTGTCTTGAAATTCTTCATCAGTTTTGAACAAGGGACTCTGCATTTTCATTTTGCATCAGGCGTCAGATTATGTAGCCAGGCCTGAGTGTAACAATGCAATATCTAGATTACAGATCCCTCCCTGTTGGCAAATCTCTTCTGCACCCTACCCCCGGTTACAATATTTTCCTAAAGAGATCGTCATTCAGAGCAACTGCTACTCCCTGACGAACTATGCGTTGTTCCTTAATCACAACTTTAAAATCTTGCAGAGTTCAAAATTATTTAATCCAAAATTTATTTTACATTAAGAAAACAATGCCAGAACTGTAATCCTGTGAGTATAGTTTCATGCAGAATGTTTTTCTTTATATACATCTGCATCCGATCCGCATTCCTTTTCACAGAGTAACTGCTTCTCAACCACAATGACATCCACAAGCCTTCTGCACAGATCCACATGCACAATCTATTCAAAAGTATTTGACTTTTATCTCCATATGTAAAATCATATAGATTTGTGGATCACCCAGGGAAGGGAAGTGAGTACTGCCTGACCAAGCCCTGATTTGTCCCTTCTCAGCTGCCAGTGCCACTGGCAGAGGAACCTCTAACGCCATCTTCTGAGGGACAAGGCCGTAGTGAAATTCTGACCTACCAGGACTTGCTGATGATTCAAGTAAAGCTGAAATCCCAAACACTGAAAAGAGTGACTTTATAAGATATATATGACTGGGTCCAAGCCATACAATACTGACTTTTCTCCCTATCTTTTGCATTATTTTATTTCCTTTAACTAAGCTAACTTTTCAAGGGTTATGTCTACAGCAGCCTGGGGAACACACACAGCTGTGTCTGTTATGGTGAATTCGATTTTCTGGCTGCAGGAAAAGTTATAAGATCTGTAGACTGCCTCTTTGGAATGAAGAGAGAGCTAAATGTGAATAAATACTGCATTAGAGGCTATGGCAAAAAAGCTAAAGGAAGAAGACTACAAAATTAGAGTATTTGGACACTTCATCCGTATCACACTTTCTACGAGACCCTGATTCAATCATTGCTCAAGTAATTTCAAAAGTACAGGAAAACCCCATCAATTTGGATGCTTTCAACTTAAACTTTATACTAGCAATATGATAGAACTTTGCTCTTACCTTCCTATAGTAGGCATAAAAATGAATAGTATAAAGATGATTATTGAAAAATAAACTATGTTCAAAAATAAGCCATTTTAAGGCACCCTTAGGTGCTTTATAACTCGTGGCTTTATTTTTAAATATTTTTGGAGTTGCACACATACTGCATGCAAGACATCAGGCTAGGCAGGAGCTGGTACTATAAAGAAGCATAAATCTAGGGCCTGTCTTCAGTGAACTTAGAGGCTGGGGGGTGAAACAGTACAGGTATAAGGAAATACGGTTCTCAATACCGGGTAACTTGAAAAGTGTGGAATGAAGGCAACAGATAATTTGTTCTGCTCGTTAGGGGAGAGCTTCTACTGCATGAAGTGGTCATTGCTCTTACAGAGTTACTGTAAGTCCTTGAAAAATATAACTTTTTCCTTCTTTTAAGTTGTATAATGCAGATTTTCCTCTTTATTGAAACCCTTTCACTCCACCCTTAGCTGTTGAACACCTATGTCAAGGAAGAGATCGTGATCGGTGTTGAAAGGAACATATGGAGGAAGATGCTGTTCCTGACCTCAAGCATTCCGACAGATCCCCAAATGAATATTTCCCAAGGTAAATGAGGCTACAAAATAGGAAGAGCCTAAGCAGCCTGTTCTGAGCACAGAGACAGTGTACTGTGTTGAGTTCCATCGAAAGTGACATGAGACAAGAGTATATATGTGAGTGGTCTATCTGAGGGGTCACAGAAAGCACAGGAGGGGATCAGGGAAGTGGGGCAAGGAAGCAAGGTAGCCCACAATAAAAGGGGCGTTCCTGAGCAGACTCCTGCTGTGAGTGACTGAGGCTCCATCCTGAGCGCCTGCGGGGCAGCTCTGGGAGACGGAACAGAAAATGCCTCCGTTACCCTCACTGAGGGGCAAGGACAGCTGGACTTTGTCCTCCAGCTTGCTTCATTCATTGATTGAAAGCCACTCCTTGGGAATGAAAAATCCTGGCTCCTGTGGCCTGCCTTGTTCCAGGTACAAGAGGAAAGTGCCCAGGCAGCCGCTCACAGCTGGAAGCCCATTTTGTTGTGGTGTATGGGAATGATGTTCCAGGAGGAAAGGGCAGGGTGCTAATAGTATCTGCTTGACAAGGGGCAAATATGATTCCAGAGATGATTATAAAAGAAGGCTGTCGAAAGAAGTGGTATTTTTTTTTAATTAAAAAAAAATTTTTTTTAAAGATTGGCACCTGAGCTAACATCTGTTGCCAATCTTCCTTTTTTTCTTCTTCTTCTTCTTCTTCTTCTTCTCCCGAAAGCCCCCCAGTAAATAGTTTTATATTCTAGTTACAGGTCCTTCCGATTGTGCCATGTGGGTCGCTGCCTCAGCATGGCCTGATGAGCCGTGCCATGTCCACACCCAGGATTCGAACCAGCAAAACGCTGGGCCATCAAAGTGGAGTGCACAAACCTAACCACTCGGCCATGGGGCCGCCCCAAAGTGGTGGTATTTTAGTAAGGCCATACAAGATGGAGGTGGCGATAGAGGAACAGCATGCCAGCAGCAGTGACTATAAGACTAAAGGCACAGAGATGGAGAGGGGTGTGTAGTGGTCACTAAAGACAACCCGGGGTTCACAAGGAAGGAGGGATGGAGGGCAATATGGCTAAAAAGACAAACAGTAATCAGAATGGGAAGGCCTCTTTAAATGTCCTATCCAGCAACTTTAAACTCTCCCCTGTAGGTGTCAAGGAGACTGAATACATGTGATTAGTGGAGTGACATGATTCAATTTTTATTTTAGCAAGCTTGCTCCGGAAATCTTGTCATAGTCTTCAGGATGGTGTGGAGGAGGTGGACTGAGGGCTCTTGTTAGAGTCAAGGTGGGACACAATCAGTGATGGTACAAGGGGATTGACAGTAAGAATACAGAGGGGTAGGGGCAGAAGACACCTTGAGAGAAGAGGCCAGGGCTGGGTACCAGAGAGGAGGATAGAGGGGGAGCAGACAAGTGTCCCACAAATGAAGCCTGGTGACTCTGGGATTGATGTCTTTAACTGAGGTAATAAATTATAGCAGGAAGAGTAGGTTTTATGGTTGGAATTTGGATCTGTTGAATTCAAGGTGGGTTATTAATCTGGAAAGGTTCAGCAGGCAGCTAGAAAGATGTGTCCAGAGCCTCAGTGGAGAGCTGGAGCCAGAGATATACATTTAGGATTCACTGAAATGAACTTCCAAGGAAGAGGATAAAGTGAGACAACTTCAGGTTGGTCTCTCTCAAATATTCAGAATTAGTGATGTTTTCCGGTAAATATAATTTGGAACAATCATTTCAGGATACTCACTAATTAGGATATAGAATTTCCCTTTCCAATTTTTGTTTTAAATATGAGAGTGAAAGGCTTGTGGAGCTATAAAATATAAAGTTTTTTTCTCTTACTGAATATAATTTATTTCTATAGGAATAATATAGGAATTATAAGTGTAAATTGAGGATAAACTACAAATGCATTGTTCAGATCTTTGGGTAATGGATGAAAATACCCGAACCACTATATCCTGACAGCACTGATTGACTGATTCCAGAAATACTCCGACTGTGTTCCAGGAGAGGAGATACTAATTTTAAAGTATAAAATAAAGCAGTCACCCGATTCACTTTTGCCAACTCCTCTAATGTTCTAAATTGGCCACTTACTTCCCTTTCCAAAGGCTGTGTACCTGGTGATCTGCACCTTGAAAGGTCCTGCAGAATATTTCTTGAGCAACTTTAGGCCACCTCTGCTGTTTTCCTCGCTAAAGCTCGAGACAATTAGTGATGAAAACATGTGTTGAAGTTTGTGGAGGTCCAATAAATAACACTACTGTTTTCCTCACTTGGGTTTTGGATCAAAAGACATCAGGCCAATGGAGAACAACATATTGGCTTTATCATCATCATCCTCATCATCATCACCACCACCACCACCATCATAACCATCGTCATTGATAAAGGCCAGGTTAGAAGATGTGGCTTTAGATATGGAACAATGCTGGGCATCCTAGTACTGAACCCCTGAATTACACAGATTTACTCACCAAGTCATGTGCAAAAGTGGACAACCACAGGCCTCCCACGTGGGAACCTACCTTGTAAAACAAACTTCAGGCATGAAAAAGCCAACCAGAAATGATGCTCCCAGCAATTTATTCTCAAAGATAAAAGAGAGGGAAAGAGGTAGCACCTCGCATGCCCAGTTCTTTATCTTACACTTACCAAGAAGTTAAATCATTTATTCTTCAGTCACTGATGTACTTGGCTGTCGCATATCCTGAAAACAGGAAGCCATCTGAAAGAGATTCCTCTCTTCTTTGTCACCTCCCTCCCTTCTCTACCACCCACAAACCCTGAGTCCAAGGACTTAAGAAGAGTTGGAAAATAGAATCTAGAGTTAGGAAAATCCTCTGAGATCACTTAGCCTGACCTATAATGTAGGGAGGTGAAGTGATTTGCTCAAGGTCACACAGTTAATTAGCAGAAGATCTTAGGCCAGTATTCCTTAAGTTTAAAGAAAGGATCTGGAAAAACACTTGATTCCATAATTTTGTGCACCACTCAGAGGTGCCTTTGAGTAGACACATCAGGCAGATGGTGATGACTTTTTCAAAGAATCTCTAACCCAGAGAGGAAGCTTAATGAAGCAGCGGACTTGCACATGGCCCTCATTTATCCTGATCTGAGCAATATTTCTGAGGCCACTGGCTGCGTTCCTTCTTCTACTCTTGAAAGACTCAGTCTTTTCTACCCCGGAAATGGCAAAAGACTTATTCTGTCTATTCGTTTCTGTGGAATCACCTCCCAACTAGCACAGAGCCTGACAGATAGTAGGCACTCAATAAATGGGAAATGATGAAGGAATGAATGAATAAGGTTTTCCTGTCATGTGAATGAAGTACAAGATGAAAAATCAGTGCCGTTCCAGTTAAGGCAACAAAAAACTCAACAGAGAAGTGCATCAATTTACTTTCTAAAAATTATCTGAAATGAATCCAAATATTAATAATTATCATTCTAATTGACTTAAGTGGGAGAAGGGAAAGGAAAACTGAGATTAAAGAAACAGCAGGAGAGAGATCTAACTAAGAAAAGTAGTTAGGAAAGCCTCAATATTTATGAGGGACAGTCCTGACAACCCCACAATTCCCCAGACTGACAGGAAACTCTAAGCACTAAACCAGCTTCACTTCTGAGCAAAATGCTTCCCTCCTGAATACCAGCCCCAGAGCATTTGAAGTTTATATTTGTGCCAGGAACTTTACATTTGCTGTTCCATTTCAACCTTACAACCACTCCAGGAGGCAGGCCTTATAAACTCTGTTACAAACTACCCATGTCACAGACCTTCACAAATGCTAAATTAATAAATACTACATATATGCTGTATACATCTTTCTTTAAGCTTACCTCCTTCTCTCTCCTTGGGCTAAAACTTTTTCTCTTGCTCATTCACACGTCAATCTATTAATTTAAAAAGGATTTATTAAGCAATAGGTGAGATAATTAGTATATATAGAAAATGAACAATTCAGTAATGAAATTAAAAAGACAATTCTATTCAAAATAACATAAGGAAAAAATACTTAGGAATAAATTTAACACAAGAAATGCACGACTTGTACACTGAGAAATTAAAAACTTTGCTAAAGAAGATCTAAATAAATGGAGAGACATTCCATGTTCACAGAAAGAAAGATTTAATATTGTTAAGATGACCTAAGATTCAATGCAATTCTTACCAAAATTCCAAAAGGCTTTTTTTGCAGAAATTGACAAGCAGATCCAGAAATTTATTTGAAAATGCAAAACATCTAGAATAGCCAAAACAATTTTGAAAAAGAACAAGTTGTAGCACTTTCACTTCCCAATTTAAAAACTTACCATAAAGCTATAGTTAACAAGACAGTGTGGTACTGACATAAAGACAGATTTAGATCAAAGGGAAAGAATTGAGAGTCCAGAAATAAATCTTCATATTTATAATCAATTGAGTTTTGACAAAGGTACCAATGCAATTCATTGGGGAAAGGATTCTGTTCAACAAACGGTGTTGGACAACTGAATATACATGCAAAAAATTAACTTAGAGCCTCACCTCACACCATACACAAAAATTAACTCAGAATGGGTCATAGGTTTAAATGTACGAGCTAAAACAACAAAGCTTTGAGAAGAAAATACAGGAGAAAACCTTCAAGATCTTAGGTTAGGCAAAGATTTCTTAGATATGACACTTAAAGCACAGTACATACAAAGAAAGAAAAAGATAAATCGGACCGCATCAAAATTCAAAACTTTTGGGCTTGAAAGTACATTATTAAGAAAGTGAAAAGACAAGCAACAGACTGGGAGAAAATATTTTCAAAACCATATCAGATTAAGGACTTGTATCCAAGATATATAAAGAACTCTTAAAGCTCAATAATAAGACAAAAAAATCAATCAAAAAATAGGCAAAGCCATGAACAGACAGTTCACCAAAGAAGATATATGAATGGCTGGCTAATAGGCACAAGAAAAGATGCTCTACATCATTCTTCCTTAGGGAAATGAAAATTAAAACCACAATGAGATACCATTTTACACCCACT